AAAAAAAAAAGAAAAAAAAGAAGAAGGAAAAAAAAAAAAAAAAAAAGACACCTGGCCGAGTGATCCTATCTGAAGCCCATTGCCCTTTCCCTTCCCTCCACAAATAGATAAAAATAAAAAACACTACTTGAGGACAAGGTGTCCGTAAAACAAAGGAAAACAGGGCAGGGCAGGAGAAAAGAGGCAGGAGGGACGTCGAGCGAAAGGAAAGGAGGGTATCGAGCTGCCTGTACATTTCGTTTCAGATTGAGGAGTTCACTGAAGTACAGGCGCTCGTAACGGAGGAGGAAGGGGAAAGAGAACGGGGGTAAGTAAGCGGGCTGGGAGAAGAGGAGGAGAGAGGACGAGAAGGTGGAGGTGGAGTAGAACGCAGACGAGGAGGAGGACAGGCGCAAGTGACCATCAAAATCCGTTCTTTGTCAGTTCATTGTGTTTTGGGGTGGCACTGCGATAACGTCGTCCGAACCGATGGCATCATGGACAAGATATTTTGCTCTGGCTATGGCGACTTTGTCCGTTTTCCTGACGTCACGGTTGGGACCGGGTATGGGAACGGGACTGCTTCAAGTTGTTGGGCTGTCGTCGGCCCACTCGTCGTCTCCACAGCCTTCCACGTCAGCGGTCGGGACTCGCCTTGTGAGTAAAATGGACCAGACTGGGGATCCGGATACGGATGTCCGTGTCATCAATGAGGAAGGAAGCAGCACGGAGAGGGCTGCCACCTCGGTCTCCATGTCAATCGCCAAGCTACGAGCACCGCGCTCGAACCAGTCGCTCGAAAGCTATGTCGACCGCCATAGCCATGACCTTCGGGTGCGCAAGGACCTACAGACCGGTGTTGAGGCCTACTCCGAGGCAACTGGGGTACTTGGAAATAGAACGGGAGGCGGACACCGAGGTGAAGTGGGAGGTGGAGGTGGCGGTGGAGGTGGAGCTGGACAGCCTGGACGTGAAGGTGGAGGTGGAGGTGGAGGTGGAGGTGGAGGTGGAGGTGGAGATGGAGGTGGAGGTCTCCCTCTTCCCCTGAGGTGCCCGTGGACGATTCTATGGAGATGGATAGTGGCGGGGTCAAGGGTCCCGTCTTTCTCCTCCGTCTCCATCGCCACCTCCACCTCCACCGTGAGCTCTTTGTGGACCACCTCCTTCAGCTCATCTATCGGTTCCCACCCTACGTCCTCCGCAGCTTCCTGTGACCCCTCCTCCTCCTGCATACTCTCTGGCATGCGGAAGCAACTGACAAACACCCCTAACATCAGTGCGAGAAAGGCAACAGGGCAGCTCCTCCACTTCGGGACACGCGAGGAGAAGAGGCACAACCGTCATCATCGTGTCAGAACTGACGAGAGCGAGAGAAGTCTCACATCTTCGAACGGCCAGGGCAAACGGCTGCTGACAAGTCTGGATCAGGATCATCCAAGAAGAATGTTACCCTCTACTCCACCTCCACCGCCAGGGCGAACTAGTAGATCGCCACCACCACCACCTCCTCCTCCACCTCCACCACCACCACCACCTCCACCGCCAGGGCGAACTAGTACATCGCCACCACCACCACCACCACCACCTCCTCCTCCTCCTCCTCCTCGGCCATATATTCCTGGCACTTCCACTAGCGGTACTTCTACCACTGAAGAAGATGATCCGCCCACTACGACTGTATCTAACACTTTTCCAACTGGGACTTGGGATCACTCGGGTGCCAGCTGGAATTGGAACCAATCTGGTCCCAGCGGGACTTCATCCCCCTATGGTCCCACAGTATATTATCCCCCGCCTGGCTTTCAGTCTCCTCAATGGCCGCAGCAAGGTCTCGCCCAGGGCTCTTCAAGATTGAACCATCTTGTCCCTGTTGTTATTTCGGTGCTTCTTTATGTTTTACTCAGCGTAATCGGATGCTAGTGTTTAAAGAAGAAAAAAAAAAGGGTGGGGTGCTAGTGTGCGGCGGCTGCCCATCTAATGTCTGTACTATGTGCTTGGATCTATCAGCGGGGTGCTCTACGACTTGTTTTTTTCTTCCCTCTCTGATCAGCCAGGATGGTGCTCCTGGCTTCGCTAATGACGTTTTGAATATTTCGGTGTTTCCTGCAATCGAGAGAGAGAGAGAGAGAGAGAGAGAGAGAGAGAGAGAGAGAGAGAGAGAGAGAGAGAGAGGGAGAAGGAAGAGAGAAACCAGCGAGAGGTGTTCTTGACACTTCTTGTGGCTCCTACGCACTCGAGGAAGATGCCCTCTCTCCGCATGCTCTCTCCGTTTTCTATTTGTTTTTTTGTTTTTTTTTCCTACCGTTCGTGTCACGTTCACCTTGATGAAACTCGTGGATGATGTTATGTGCGGGACCTGTTTTCCTCCCGTTCTTTTTTTTAATAAATAATATCCACGAGGTTCTCGACGTCTGTAACGGATATCGATCATGATGAAGAGTTGTGGATGTAAATTATAAGAAAACCTCGTGGATATTATTTATTAAAAAAAAAAGCCCTCGTGGATATTATCTAGTATTGCAAAAAAAAAAAAAAAAAAAACTCGTGGAGATTAACCTGCTTGAACTATTTTATCTTTAATATACACTGCTCTTAGTCTATACCTTCTTCACTCGAATAGAACGCCAGGGCATGATAGCTGCATTTGGGGCAACTTTCAGTCGAAATACAGATAAAATAATGACCGGGCGTTCTATTCGTGTGAACAAGGTACTTGTCTTGTGGGGCGAGGTCCCACTAGCAAAGAGGATTGGATTGAACACCTGAATCTGAACTTGTTTGTGGAACGAAGCAGAATGTCGAGATTGAACTGCTTTTCCGCATCTGTGTTTAACAGATGTCCAGATTCAGGATAATATTTATCCAACCCTCTTCGCTAGTGGGACCTCACCCCTGGGGATTGACGACCATAGACGGGGCAGACGGATGTGCTGTGAGGAGGGGCCACGAGCGAAGTCTTCACTGTGGAGGTCGTCTGTTATCTTTCTTTTTTTTTTTTTCTTTTTTTTTTTGGGTGTTGTCTGTTATCTGTTAATACTGTTATGCTACCGTCGTCGCCCTCCTCAAAGAAGCAGAAGCAAAAAAAACAAACTCCAAAAAATCCGAAAACAAACTATGTTATGCAAAAAAATAAAGTGAACAACTTTTGCCTCAGGGTTACGTCGAAATTCCTTACCAAATTTAAAATAAAATCTTAAATTAAAAACTTTTTTTTTTTTTTTTTTTTTTCATTTCTTTTTGGCCTGGCCGGGCAAGTGGACCCCGGCAAGTGCCCCGGCCGGGCAATTTTATTTATTAAAAAAAAAACTATTTAATGGGGGTTGCGTTAAGTGATTCCGAGGGCCATTCCTGTGTGATTTGTGATTTCTTTGTTCTCTACGGAGATTTTTTTTTTTTTTCGGAATTTGTAATTACAAACGGGGCCCCTGTCCGAGGCTATGCATCAAGCTAACCCTCAGGCTGAGCGGCGACCCTGTCGGAAAGACATAAACCAAAACTTTGAGCAAACCCTGTCAGTGAATAGCCTATCTTCTTCCCCCGAATACAACGTACGCGGTCATTATAGCTATATTTAGACTGAAAGATACCCCAAAACTCTCAAATACAGCAATAACGACCGTACGTTGTATTCGGGGAAGAAAGTAGCCAAAACGTTAGCCAAGTCGTAATCACTCCGAAAGCTCTACTGAAATGAAATTTCCGCTCAGTTAATAAGTATCTATTCACGGAGAAAATCACCAACGTACAGCAAACAGAAAAACGAAAAACCGAGAAAACTACGGCGGAGTCAGTGTTTGCGTTTGAAAATGCACTTGTTTCGAGGCAAAAGGGCCGGTAAATTATGCTGAATGTATATCACCTAGGTTTCGCGTCCGGTGGGGTCACGTGGGGCCGTGTTGTGTTCGCGGGATTGCCTGACCTGCTTTTTTTTTTTTTTTTTTTATCTTCTCGTCTATCTTCTCAACGGTCTCCTCGCCTACCACCTTCCTCCACGGCCAAAGACGGGGCCAAGTCCCACTAGCAGCGTTGAGCTACCTCAACGCCTTAATCTGGACGTGTTTGTGGAGACGTGCAGTTCAGGAAACTCAACACCATTTCTGCACATCTGCGCAAAAGGGTCCACATTCAGCCGTTGAGGTAGCTCAACCCTGCCAGTGGGACTTGGCCCACGGGATCTTCCAGAATGATCGCGTGTACTCAACCGGGAAATAAAAACAACGAACGAACCAACCAAACTGTGTAAAGTTGTAAACCAAGAAAAGCAAGGCCACTCTCACCTCCTGGGGCGCGGTCCCACCAACGAAGAGGACCGGATCGAATGCCTGAATCTGGACGAGTTTATGGAGATGTGCAGGAAATCGAGATTGAACTGCTTTTCTGCACCTCTGGATTAAACACATCCAGATTCAGGAGCTTGATCCTATCCTCTCTTTTAATGGGACGACGCCGGGCCCCCTGTACAACTCAAAAAAGAGTTACGGTAGGACTTACAGCAGGCTCACATTAGAACCTTTTGAACGCCCATGTGGACGTAGCTGCGGTCACGTGCATACATGCCAGGCTGTAAGGCGGTCCGGTACATCCAGGAAAGTCCTCCCTGTTGAGTATGGCCTTGGAGCAACAAAGAGTAAAAGTAGAGGACTACGGAAAACACAAAAAAAAAAACGTAAACCAGTAGTTACTTAACTCACCAGTACGTTTCCCAGCTACGAGAAAAAACATGCGGCTTGCATGCGGCTTGCATCCGGCTTGCATGCGGGGGCTAGGTCCCGCTTACACGAATTAAGCGATATTGACCGTAGATAGCAAAGATCAACGGCCAGAATCTCTTAATCCGTGCAAGTGGGACCTTGCCCCGGCATGCATGCGCCTTGCATGCCGCTTGCATGCGGCTTGCATGCAGCTGCAACTTTCGGGCCTCTGCCCCCGAGCAAAATGGCTGGTTCGTTTTTGGGGGGCCCTTCGGCTTGCATGCAGCTGCAATCTCGGCGCCCTGCCCTGTGGCGCAAGCCAGCCAAAAACGAGGCCCACGCGGGTTTGTTTTTTTGGGGGCGTGCACAAAGGAGGCCTGGTGGGTTCGGTTTTCTTGGGGCGCGCAGGGCAGGGCGTTTCCAGCCCCGTAGAATAGTGCCTAGTACTAGGAAGTACTGCAGTGATGGTTTAACTACAGTAAACCGAAGAGCTCAGCCTAGTGAAAAAAAAAACTTTGTCAAAGACTACCATCCATCCAGGCACTAAATGTTTAAACCAGGTGCCAAGTCCCACTAGCAGCGCTGAGTTTCCTCAACGCCCGAATCTGGACGTGTTTGTGGAGTTGTGCAGAAATTCGGGTTAAACTTTCGTCAACGGTGTCAATGGTATCTCTCCGCCAACACGTCCAGATCGGGCCCGTAGTGGGATTCGGTCCCAGCAAAACAAGGAACAAGTAGAGAAACCACAAAGCAAATATAATAGCAATGACAACTTCGACCTATTGTCGTCTATCCAACAACCATTACAACAAATCTCTCCCGCTTTTGAACAGACGGCCGACAAACAAAACTGCGTAGGTTTGCCCACCTTTAGATCATTGACAATTCCATCCATCACAGAATCATCAGCATCCCATCTGCTCAGGTACAAGGAACTAGGAAACAGCTCTGTCCCAGCTCTCCTCCACTTTTTGCACAGGATGCCGCCAACACTAAAGTGTAGCGTGCCCACCTGTAGATCATGGACACTTCTATACGCTAGGAGGATAGTTTAGCAGTCTGGCAAAACACAAAAACAAAGATGGATATCTTGGTTCCAAAAATAAAAGCAATTTAAAGAGAAAACTAGGGCGCAGTCAGGGTTTGAGTTTGGAAATGCACTTGAGCCAAAAGGGCCCCGTAATGGTGAATGTATATAACCTAGGTTTCGGGTCCGGTGGGGTCACGAGGGGGTGTGTTGTGTTCGCCGGATTGCCTGAACTGAATTTTCAAACTGTTTTCGCAACTGCGCCGAAGTTACCCCAAAATAAAATAAGCAAAAACTACGGCGCAGTCAGGGATACAGTTTGTGATTGCATTTGAAACTGCGTTTTAGCAAATTAGTCAGGGCCCGAGTTTCAATTGCAGTTGAAACTGCGTTTTGGCAGTTTGAAAATCGGGCTGGGTTTTTCTAGCAGTTTAGTCAGGCACACGGCCTTTTCTTTCTTTCTTGGTTTTTTTTTTTTTTTTTTTTTTTTTTTTTTTCGTTTTTGGCCGCGCTCCGCACCGTTCCGCGGCTGGGAAGGGGAAAAAAAATAAAAAAAAATAAAAAATCTTGGTTGACGTTGGTTCCTGCAGCCAACTTGTGCAATCTAGGTCGCTATTGAGTGTTATACTGCTCACTATGGGCAGGGGCGGAGCTGGAAAATTTACCGTCGGTAATTCATTATGCTTATTTCAGGTGTTTCGGTGTCAAGGTGATGCTTGGAGGAAGGGGAGCACTACTCTGCATGGGCTTCACAAGGCGGGAGGTGAACGTCCTGGAGGGGGTAGGGGCAGATCCGTGACGTTTGCTTTATTCGGGGGCTGGGGTTGATACGAGGGTCATTATCATATCCCAGCGGGGGCAGATAGGGGCAAAGGGTATGCAGGAGCATACTTTAGGCAGGGATTGGCAGGGAGGGGGTATGCAGGAGCATACTTTAGGCAGGGAGGGGGTATGCAGGAGCATATCCCAGGGGGGCAGATAGGGGCAAGGGGTATGCAGGAGCATACTTTATGCATGGGGAAAGTTCTATGATTAGCACCCTTTTGCTCGTCAACAGTATGGGTATCATCAAAGATAGGGGCAAGGGGTTGGCAGGAGCATATGTTAGGTGGGGACTGGATGCCCTGAAGGGATTGGAGGCAGGGAGGGGTCTATCCCACGCTGGAGCCGAGGAGTGGCGGTAATTAGTGCAGTGAGGGAGAGGGTGAGAGGGAGAGGGGGGGGGGAGTTCTATGATTAGCGCCCTTTTGATGATCAACGATATGGGTATCATCAATATCATTAATCTGACTTTTAGTACTCTTCAGTATTAACTCATCAGCAATCATGCATTACTTCAAGCTTCTATAGAAACCAGATCCAGGATTTCAGGGGCATTACTGGTTCATCCAACGTCTTTAATGGATTAAGCTCCTTATCTTTGGCACCTACCTCACATGGCGAGGGCTAGCGGTAGCACAGATTGCCCGACTTGCCCTAGACACCCCCCATACACTCGAACCGATGGTGTGGCTAGAGGACAGGTAGAGCAGAATTCTTTGAAGGGATTGCGGGGCAGCCAGTGCCAGCCACAACCAAACCAGTCCAGCGAGACCTGGCATTCAATGATTTCTGGCCCCGATTTCTCAGGACCTGGCGGAGGCTCCCTCCGCCAGACCGGCCGGCTCCCGAAAGGTGGGAGGA